GTTGCTACAATGACAAATTACCTCAAATATACTGGTTTAAGTGACACAAGTGTTTTATCTTATAATTCAGGGAGATGGAAAGCCTACATTAGTCTCCCTGAAATGAAACCAAAATGTTGGCAGGTCTACTTTCCTTCCTAGTGTCTCTGAAGGATATTCCATTTCTTTGTCCTTTCCAGCCTTTGGAGGCCACAGACATACCTTGGTGCATGGCCCCCTGGCTCCATCTTCAAAGCCACTAACAACTAGTTGTGTCCTTCTCATATTTTACCACTCTGATCTCCCCTTCTGCCTCCTCTTTCACTTTTAGCAACACTTGTGATTAAATTGGGATGACCTGAATAATGCAAAGTAAACGCTATCATTATCAAACTTAACTTCATCTGCAATTTTTTCTCTTTGTATGTAAGATCACATATTTATAGATTCCAGGAAATAGGACCCATGCATCCTTGATTGAGGGGATGGGGCCTCAGTCTGCCTACAATAAAAATCTAAGTAAGATCATGTTTCAAAATTAGGAATATTATTTCTTTTGCTTTTATAATTTATTATGTGTTATTCTTTCACTAGATAGTACCTAGAATTCATCTACTTCTGGAGAAAATTAGAAATAGTAAAGGATGCTGAAGGCTGCAAAAAAAGCAACTCCTGATAGTTAAACATGGAACTGTTGAAAACAATTGTAAATGTTTTTGGTCTCTGCCTTTTATATATCTATGTCAAAGGGTAGAAAACCCGGTTCAAAGAGTTTTCTACATTTCAGAGAAAACATTCTTCCAATGGCAGAAAAGTCATTAACATGGGTAGATGTATATAAAATGTATATAAAGAAAAATGGCTATTTCTTGGGCCAAAATAATATAAGAAATGAAAAGATAGAATAAAAATGTGAAGAGAAGGTGGCTTGGGAGGACAGAATGCTTTGCAGGCAGACAATGAGTCATCCCAGCAGCAAGCACCACTGATTTCTGAAAAAGATTTGAAAGGGACAAGAATTTGGCTTATATTACATAAGCAGACCTTAATATTAGGATTTCATTATTAGTGGGAAGGGCTGATGGTGTCTTCACTGAGCCATTTAGTTCAGGTTTTAAGCTTGAATTTCACTTTTTCAACACAAATTCTTCAAGATCCTGTAAACTACTGAATGATGATTTTTCCTATTGGTAAGATACGTTTTTTATTCAAGAAGACAACAATTTTTATGGCTTTTCGGTTTTAGCATAACTTAACTTCTTATGTGTGATGATTCAATAGATGCTTCAAGCATAAGCAGCTCCACTTGCTGCAAACACTGTCTAAATATTTGTATATGTATCTGATTTCCCCCCACTATTCTCATGAGGAAAGAATTGTGTCAAAACTTTTCTTGGTGTCCCCACTGACTATCAGAGTGTCTAGCACAGGGCAAGCTTGTTCTGGACTGGCAGCATGAAGCAGGTGATCCCTAAGGGGAATCACTGTAGGGATGCTTTATTATTTTACCACAGTTTCTGACTTTCAGCACCATTCAGTGTGACAGACAATGGAGAAAGTTGCTCCAGTACTCAAACACTGGCCATTCCTATGAAGTTTTTGTGAATATTCTTAATCAGTGATTCTCAAAAATTGAGCCCCAACAGCAGCACTGTGAACTTGTTAGAAATTCAATCCTAGCAGTCCCACCAAGACTTACTGTACTGAGAAATCTAGGAATGGGGTAAAAAAATCTAAGGGTTGTTTCTAAAAGCATTTTTTAAACTATTCCAAATGCAGGGAAAGCTTCCATTCAGGCCATTCCTAAAATCCGCTAATGGGCCAGCCAAAGCCAGAACTTGGGAACACTATTCCTGTCTCCCACATGTGTGACAAGGACCAAACTTCTTAAGCCATCATCTGCTGCTCCTTGGGGTGTGCATTACCAAGAAGCTAGAATCCAGAGAGCCAGGACTTGAACCCAAGTGCTTCGATATCTGATGCAGGCATCCAAACAGATGCCTCAACTCTAGACCAAACACCTGCACCCCAGATATAGGTTCTGACACATCCTCTAGAAGATTCTGGTGATACTAAAACTTGAGAAACACAGTTGCACAATAACCCTATAATTAGGCCATATAATTTTTCCAATTGAACATATCTTCTTGAGAATGAAGAGCTAAGTAATTAGTTATGTAGTTTCTCAAAAATACATGATTTGCATGTAGACACTTCAACAGTCAGAATTTGTCAATTGTGAGATAATAAATAATCATTTTTTGAGTCACAGTGTGCATTTAAAGACATTTCCTCTAAACTGTTAAGGGCTATGCTTAGGACATAGAACTCCAAAAGAGTACTCTTATAATTGAACAAATGAGTAACTCTGAAACAATGACTATGCTAGTAAACTTTTTGAATCTGTTTATTAAATGTTTAAGATGTCTAATAAATGGTAGTTGCAACTATTCTATTTAGAAATTAAGTCTGTAGTGTAGAAAAATGATGAATACATAGTGTCATAAGAAAAAAATGCCTTCCTTATGATCATGTGAAATATATTTCAAGTTTATAAAACAGACAAATAGGCCAGTAGATAAATAGTAGATAGAAATACTGATATGCAGAGGGAGATAGACTGGAAAGAATTGTATCCAAATGTTAATAACATTTGTTTCTATATGTCAGAATATTGGGATAGTTAAATGATTTTTATACTATTATTTTTGGTTATCTGTTTCTTTAAATTTTTCTATATGTATGTCCTATGTTTAACAATAAAAATTTAAAATGGCATCATCAACAGAAAAAGTGATCTATAAAGAGAGTAAATCATTAAAAACATTGGTTGAACTTATTTAATGACAGTAATATATCTTTGAGTAGAGAATCTTGCTGAATGTTTTCATCTTTTGATTCTGATTTTTAATAGCAGATACTACTAATTAGGTGGCATAGGCCTAGTGATAAATGTATAATGAAGGAAAAGTATTAAAGTATATTTCTCTGGTCTGTGCTCCATCTTCTCATGAAAATTTTAATCATTCAATTTTTGCAAGTTCATTCTGAAATTTTCCATAATAACATATCACTCTTTTCAATAATTAATAGGTACTACCATCCTCAGCCTCCTGTATGTATGTCAGTATGCGAGGTGACTGACTGACACTGTCACAAAACTCACAACCGATGTGTCCTAGCAAGGCTCCCATGGCTGTCAGAGCATCTCATAGAGGCAGATACCCTACGTCCAAATCCTCATCATGTTTCCTCCTCTCTACTTTAAACTGCTCTGACGCCACTCAAGATTTGAAACAACCCTTGACTCTGCAGAATTCTGCATCCTAGAACAAACATAACCACAGGAGTCCGGTAAAGACTCCTTAACAATATTATCTTAAATTTGTATAGTCCTTGAAAATAGTGAGCTTTCACAGGTTTTATCTGTGAGCTCTCACAAGTTTTATTTTTATGAAAAATTTCACTAGACTCCAAAATATGTTATATTATTTGCTCTGGCTCATATATAAAAGCAAAGAAAGGTCCTTTGTAGTTGTGGTCAGTCTGAAAACACATATCCAGAAAGTAGTGGAGCCAGAAATCATATTAGCCACCAAATCCAAGATTGTATATGATACTCTTTCCATTAAAATATTGTACAGTTTGGCTATAATAATCATGGTCTATTTATTATTTAGAGTATTGTGAATATGCATATTTCATAAAGTTGTAGTGATAACGCCAAAGAAGAGACACAAGTGTTAAAAATCATTACTTTCAAGATATGGTCTTTTCAAAGAAAGATTATTATGTTTTTAAATACTATTATTTAAAGAGATATCAATATTGGGCATTTTTAATTGCAAAGTAAATGTCTTGAAGAAGAACTGTTTTGAATTTTAAGCTCTACAGCATCAATCAAATTGCTTGCCTAAGTGTAAAAAATAATTAACATCAAAATATTACCAATTAAGTTGGAGCTCTCAAATGGCATCTCTTGTTAGTAATGAAAACATCAAAATATACATGAATCTAAGGAAAGATGAATAAAATTAATTCCTACTCTCACTGAATTTAAATTTAATAACATCAAATAAAAAGATGACTATGAGATAGGACACTTAATACTTCTGTTGGAATATTTCTGTGAGAAACTTTGTTCTCTTTGTTTTTCAAAAAGCATTTTCACTGAAGAGCTTACAAAAGTAAAGAACTAAAACCTACCAACTACAAATTTTTACCATGGAACTAATAATATGATTAACATATACTTGCATTATTTTCTCTTGTTTTCTATTTATTTTTTAAAGATTTATCTATTTTTCTTTGAAGGGGAGTGTGTGAGAGAGAGAGAGAGATCAATTTTCTTTGTGTGTGTTTTTTTTTTTTTTTTTTTTTTGGACAGGCAGAGTGGACAGTAAGAGAGAGAGACAGAGAGAAAGGTCTTCCTTTTCCATTAGTTCACCCCCCAATGGCTGCTGCGGCCAGTGCACTGGGCTGATCTGAGGCCAGGAGCCAGGGTCTCCCATGCGGGTGCAGGGCCCAAGCACTTGGGCCATCCTCCACTGTACTCCTGGGCCATAGCAGAGAGCTGGCCTGGAAGAGGGGCAACCGGGAAAGAATCCAGCGCCCTGACCGGGACTAGAACCCGGTGTGCCGGTGCCGCAGGCGGAGGATTAGTCTATTGAGCTACAGCGGTGCCGGAGAGATCCATTTTCTGTCTACTAGTTCACACGCCAAATGGCCTCAGCAGCCAGGACTGGGCCAGTCCAAAGCCAGAAGTTCAGTGCTCCATCCACATCTCCTCTGTGGTTGGCAGGTACCAAAGTACTTAGATTGCTTTCCTAGGCAAATTAGCAGAGAGCTGGCTCAGAAGCAGAGAAGCTGGGACTCGAAATGTCACTCCCATATGAGATTTTGGCATTGCAATTGGTATCTTAACTCACTGTGCCACAATTCTGGCCCTTTGCTCTTATTTAAAAAAAAAAAGTTTAAAAATTCATGTGATGCTTATATTTTATTTTTTTTTTTGCAGTAACTTGATCAACACCACAGTTTATTTGTAAACATGTTATATGTGTCAATAATCAAATTGACAACACTTTGTACATTTCATTGTATAATATGAACATAACAGAAAACAATCCACTGTATTCATTACAGTTTTGGTACTTTAAAACCTTTTAATTCAAACTGTATTTGAAACATTAAACATAAAAAAGACACAAATGGCAGAGAAACTGAAAATATCACATAAAAGAAACCAATATGCCCCCAAAAACAAATACAAAATCATCTGATTACATATTAAACAAAAGAAAGAAGCAAATAAATGAAAGATATCAGATGATCCTATTTTTTAATGATATAAAAGTTGAATTTCTTTAGACTTATTTGAGAGGTGAAATTGTACCATACTAGAATCTATAAGTATGCCCTTTTTGATAATTTTTTTCCTCTTGATTACTTAATAATGTTTGCCATGGTTTAAGCTGTTTTAGGAGGTGAGGGAAGAAAGGAGGGGAGGCAGCACAAAGCCAAATGAAATTAAACATTGGCAAATTTTGTTTCATGAATAATCTTTGGCAAATAACAGTCCATATCTTAAATTTATGTTTTTGTTGGATTGGATCAACACTTGGAAGAGGTAAGGGATGCATCCTTTACATGAGCTAATATTTGAAGGAAACAAATCCAAATTCATAAAGCAAAGACAAACATCAGCTTTTCACGCTTTCTAATAGCTCTAAAAATGCAGACTCCCCCTCCTTAAGAGCACAGGGGGCTCCAGCTGGGAATCGGATGGTCACTGTGTCGTCATTCAGCACCAGAAACCAGGGGTGACCTTGTGTTTTCTAACCACTTTCCCTAAAATCCATGATCAGGGTCAGGTTCAGCTTCTTATTCCATTACCACTCAAAGGAAATATAGCATCAAACCACTCTTGTGTTTTAAGCTTTAAACTCACCAACAATTAGGTTTACTGCCAACAACTACCAATGTTCAACTCTTTATTAGTGGGCATATCATTACAGTTGGCTTATACTGTTAATACAAGAATAAATAAACTACGGTTAACTCAAATAAAGCAAATTAAAATGAGATTATAGGGCCCTGATCAAAAGAAATAATTACAACTTTCAGTTGAAGACCTATAAAAGTTACATACATACATACATACATACCTAAGAGCACTAGGAATGTACAATATCAATTATTGGAAAAATAAATGAGTGATTCACAGTCATAAGAAAGTATTTTAATATTAATATGCATTTCTCCTTTTATAGACAAACAACATACACATGGTTTCTACCTTATATGAGATAAAGTAGAAAACTAAACGTTACTGTATTCAACCCCCCCAACACAGCACTGACTGTGCCACAGGTAACCTGGTCCAAAATACTCAGTTCTACAGATAGGCCATTGAATGCATGGTTATATTAACAGTTTTAAGAAAGGCATATATTTCCAGAAGTATGTTAAATACACAAATATCACTTCTATAAATAACAAAAATTGCCAGCCAAAATGGTTAGGTTATAACATTCCCAATTTTTTTAGTGCTTTAGTATTTTAGATACAATGTTGTTTGATCAGTTAGTTTAGTTAACAGTTTTAAACTAGCAAACCATTACCCTACAAAAGGAGCTAAACTATAACACTGCACAAACTTCCCAAGGAAGGTAACTTGACATGTCGAAAAGTGATTCCAATTATTCTAATTAACATTTGAGATATTGAAAGAACCAATGACTTAAGAAATGCCTTGAAAGAGATTCAATGTATCACTTCATCCAAATACCTTTAATATCCAGACTGCCTAAGAATCTGTCTTCAACGCAGGTTTCGCACTAAAGTGTTCTGATCCGAAGACACAGCCTTAGTGCTTCTGACGTGTGATTCTACGCAAAATCACAATCCTTGGTTTGAAAACATCAGATTCAATTTCTATAACAATTCGTTGGTAATACTACAAACAAATCAGGATGAAAACGTGCAACAGCTGCAGCTATAAGAGTGGAAAATGAATTCCATTTTTTTCCATAAAGACTCTATGAAAATATAAAGCCCAAAGTGAGTGACAACAGAAGTCCACATATAAACACTGTTTAAAAATAGAATGTTTTCCAAAGCTTCTCATGAGATGTCAACGAAGAGTCATCATCTGAGTTAAGACCTCAGAAACCAAGGTTATGTTATACGTGACTATACTGATCTACGTGTCTTCAACAATGGTCAACTGACATACATAATTTACAGACATCCACAGGAATTCTTAATGCCCCGTCATCTCATCTCTCAGTACTGGATGCTTATTGTTTTATAGTTTTACTACCACGAGTACCAAGAAGCCTTTCAGAGGAAGAGTTCCATCTCTTCCTTTGATCCCATAAACTGTAGGTAACAAAATATAAAATTAAACAAGATTTATGTTTGATAAACTAACATATAAAATTACCATTGCAATATTCATAGTGACTGCTTATAAACATAACAGTCATCATAAAGCCTATAAAGTATATTTGTAGTTTTATAAAAGAAATGCAGATTGTCTCAAGGTAAAAAATACAGTGCTGGCTGCTAAAAAGCACTTTGTTGCAACAAGAGGTGCAATAATGAACAAAACTTCAGAAAACATGAACATGTTCCCCAAACTCTGAGTCTCAGGTAAGCAAGGACCGCACTGTAGCAGCAGGATGCTTTTTAGTAGCTGACACTATAAAGCTAACGTCAAGGAGGAAAAAAAGGCAGAAAGTGTGGGCAACAAATGGTGTAACCAAATTATTGCAAATGGAGATTAGCAACAAGAAGTGAAGAAGGCGACCGCCCACTCCATTCTGATAAGGTGCCGTCTTGAAATACTAAGTTTTTTGCAGGAAGTGGAACTCCCATATCGCCACAGGATGACTGTGAAATCAAACTTGAAAAACTGGGCTCTGTCTGAATATCCAATGTTGAAGCACCTTCCTGGAATGAGTGAACGAAGTTAAGGACTTGTAAAGAGAGTTTCCTACTGGAATGCAAGAGGTTCTGAAGGCTTTCTTTTCTGCAAAGGCCATGTGTTGCAATTTTCCTACAAACTTTCCGGTTTAATTCTGAACTGAACAGTGGAATTCCAAAGCATAGTTCAAGAGGAACCCAGTCTGCCTCTGTTGTGATACCAGAGTTTTGCTTTGTGGCTGAATCCATAGTTGCTTCCTCAATGACCATTTCAAATGACTCTGTACTCCCATTCACATCTGAGCCAGAAGCTAAATCAGGTTCTCTCTCATCAGAAGCATCACTGAGTTTTCTACTTGCAAGTTGGCTAGAAGCATTCAACATGGTGATGTAGCCACAGAAATGCTGCAAGTCCACCTTGTTCCTTAATATTTGCAATGCTTTATGAACACCCATACTGACACGAGTGAACTCTCCTTGTAGTTCTGTTTCATCAAATGGAAATGGTATATGGACAGTTTCTCCTACCCCATGCAAACCATGTCCCTGAATTAAAACTGCAGAATGTGTTAAAGCATCATTCAACATTGTAAGCACATTTGATGTAGGAACTACTCCAGGATCATGACCCCAAGATGTTATTAGTAACCGATCATAACCCTGAAATATATCTGGCAGTTTTCGAAGTCTTGTACCTTTGGATAGTAAGAGAGATGGCGGTCCTTGTCCAGTGATATGATAAATGTACAGTTTAAACCAAACAGAACTAACTTCTGGAATAGCTGGTCCAATATGCTGAGGGGTGCAGCTGCTGATGGGCCAGATTTCATTGGTGAGAGGCGCCATGGAGACAAGCAGTGTGTAATTCTTGTTCAGAACTCTGCTGCAGGTGGCAGGGTCTAAACCAAGAAGGCTTTCACAGCGCAAGAGATCCAGAGGAAAACCATAATTGGGTTGGTCTGGCTGTGCAGTTTGTGCAACTAGGTCTTTGTTGTGACGTAGAAACAGTATTGTATTCCTCAGAGTAAGAGCGTGATCAAAATATCGCTGTGCTTCTCCTTCACCAGTGATGCTTATATTTTATTATTTTATTTTATTTTTTTTTTATTTGAGAGATAGTGTTACAGACAGAAAGGGAGAGAAAGGATGGTATTCCATCCACTGGTTTACTTCCCAAATGGCTGCAATGGCCAGAGCTGGGCCCATCTGAAGCCAGGAGCTTCTTCCAGGTCTCCCATGTGGGTGCAGGGCCTAAGCATTTGGGCCATCTTCTACTTTTTTCCAAGGCCATAGCAGAGAGCTTGATTGGAGGAGAAACAGCTGCAACTTGAACTGGCATCCATATGAGATGCTGACACCGCAGGCAGAGGCTTAGCCCACTATACCACAGCATTGGCCTCGCATATTTTATTTTTATTATTATATTTATTATTAAATATAATAGCATATAAGAGATAGCCAGAGCATTCAAAGGTGAAATACTTTTCTGAGACTGTCATAAAATGATTCTGTCCTCTCTTTACTCTGTCCTTGTTCTGATCAGAAGTTTGTTTTGTTTGTTTTGTTTTGTTTTGTTTTTGTAATGACTTTAAAGGCCAATTTGGAAATATTACTGGCTTCATCAGAGGAGGCGAAGTATGAATTCTTTAGGATGGTATACAACTGGGTGTTTTATTCATGTGTCACCATTTGTCTTTACATACATTTGACTTCACTTGACAGGCAACGCCTTTCTATTTCTGTCCAGGTTAATGTGGCTAAAGCACCACCCACCTCTGTAATGAAACAGGAGATTCAAGACTGGCCAAAATGAGCATGGTTGTTTCATTTCACGATGACTGGCTGGCCTGTGGTGGGTGTATGGGTGGCCTGAGTCAGGCCAAATGACAGTATGGAAGCAACCCAGATTAGGATTTTTGAACGTCTTCTGTTTGAGTCTCTTCCTTCCCACGTTTTCTCTGTCCTGATCTTCCTAAGCAGCCAGCTGGATCTTTGTATTCTTTAGCCTAGACTTTTCTTTCAAGGTGATTTTCCTCCAGATTACAGACCACTGTTCCATGGTGGGTTTGATTTCATGTCCAGTTCAATTATTTCCAGCTTAGAAATACTCCTCAGCAGGAATGCTCACACAATAAATGTCCTCATGCATATAATTGGGTAAAATGGCAAATAATGAGAAGTGAATTATGGATGGTGGCAGTCTTTTCTCTTTGATTCTCTGAATTTTATTTCTAGTAGAAAAAAATGAATAATTGGTACAATGAATGTTGACCTGGAATTTAATGATTTTTAAAATCATGTTTTTATCCTTAATTTTTTTGTACAAGATTCCTTCAGTTCATTGCTTTCAATGTCTGTATTTTCTCTTTTCGTTCAAATTATGGGCACTATTAATGATTATTACATTTAAATATATTTTAAACAGTGATAGGCCATTCATTTTTCCATAAAAAAGGAAATAATTCAGACATGTTATATATCTGCTGACACCTCCAAAGCAAATAACTGCTTCCTGTCTATAAGTTGCCTAGAAAATGTGAATTTGAGTTACTGCCTGGTAATCTAAAAAATGAGTGTTTCCTGACTTGGCTGGTCTGAAAACTGAGATAGTTACTATGTTGTATTTTTTTCTCAGAAATATATTGCTTTGGGGAGAAAAAGTAGGAGTAAATATCAAGTCAGGGGAGAGGATGAAAAAGTGCCTTTACTAATCATGGCTATATCAATTGCAAAATGAAGATTCTAATTTAAGAATCACAGAATGTGTATATCCATGTAACTGTGATCAAAAATGACATTAACATTTAGGTACATAATTGATATAGCCTCTGTGAAATGTTCATTTCTACACTCAGTTTCTTAACCACATTCTTCCCTGCTTTGGCTGGGAGCCCCTCCTCTGTCAGGCTCAGGTGACTGACCCTAAATGTTAGTGTGGAGACTAGAGAGACGATGGTCTCTTGCCCGACTGCCAAGACTTGAAGTAAGTTACCTGAGGAAGGAGCATGGAAAGCCTGCTGGAAAGACTAACTGCACAGCTCTACAACCTCCTATAGTCTCCTGTATCCACAATAGATAAATTTTACACTGTTTTTATTCAGTGAAGTTTCAGTTTCTAGGAAAGAATAAAAATGGGACTGTATATCTTACATGGACTTCAAACTCCATTTTAGGATGTTTTACCAGTTATTTCTGGGAAAAGGTTTAGGATCCATGAGCTTTTCAAAACCCTGTGATGTTCTAAGATCTGAAAACCATAAGTTGACTGAAGAAAACCTAAAATACCAAAATAACTAAATATATAATTGAATGCTTACAAAAGCAACCTATTGGAAAGAAAATTATAACTCAAAGAGGACTTAGTGCCCTGAAAGTATGAGTCTGGAGCCTATGCTGTGCTTAAAACTGCACTGGCCCTCCCACATGACTGTTGGAAACCCACAGTATACACAGAGTGGGTTTGGTAGCCATCCAGTAAATTTCACTTGCCAGCTTGGTTCATGTCACCTCAGATGAAATGGAGACATTAAACCTCTCCATCGTCATCTTTTCTGTGATTCTGCCTAAGTTCTTACAAGAAGCTATTCGTTCAAAAGTTTGCTCCCAGAATACAAAAATGTTGATTCTACCTTCTAAAATTAGTAAACAATGAATGAACAATCTTGAACTGAAAGCAAAGCATCTTGATTTTATGGTTAAACCTAGAATTACAAACCATCTATATATCTAAGTAAAGCATCATGTTAACAATGATGACTTGTTCTTCAGTTGTTACATATAAGTTCTATCATAAGAACACTGTCCTTAGAGCACTGATCAGAAAAAAAATCCATGTATTTATCATTTTCCATACCTCACTCAGACAAGGATACACTCCTTTTTCTATATTTTTACATGCATTGTTACCAACCTCTTTATTACTCTGACTGTTATGGAACTCTCCACAGCCTGGATAATTTCTATTTTTATTTAGAAATAAATCCCCTAATTACATTATAAGATTACATTAGAGATATGAATATGACCACATATACTAAAGTGATATAAGAAATATGTAAAACATATAAAAATATAGGGCCTCTCCTCATAGAACATCATTTAACCAGATAATTGGCTGGATTTTTATAAATTATAAATTCATAAATATTTGTAAAGAAAGATGAATAGATGATTATCTAAGAAAGGTAAAAATTATGATTCTCATACAAATATAAAAGGAATATATTCTAAAAATTTTATTCATGAATGAGAATTCAGTAAAATATTACAAGTTCGAATAAGAATGCAAAGTATGAGGTATTGATAGACAAAAAGTCATTAAATTACAGAGTTCAACCAATGGTACTAGTACAAAAAAAAATACTAAAATGGATAAAGTATTACGTTGTACATCAACCGTCAGGACAAGAGCTGATCAAGTCACTGTTTCTCATAGTGTCCATTTCACTTCAACAAGTTTCCCCTTTGGTGCTCAGTTAGTTGTCGCCAATCAGGGAGAACATATGATATTTGTCACTTTGGGACTGGCTTAATTCACTCAGCATGATGTTTTCCAAATTCCTCCATCTTGTTGCAAATGACTGGGTTTCGTTGTTTTTGACTGCTGTATAGTATTCTATAGTGTACACGTCCCATAATTTCTTTATCCAGTCTACTGTTGATGGGCATTTGGGTTGGTTCCAGGTCTTAGCTATTGCGAATTGAGCTGCAATAAACATTAATGTGCAGACTGCTTTTTTGTTTGCCAATTTAATTTCCTTTGGGTAAATTCCAAGGAGTGGGATGGCTGGGTTGAATGGTAAGGTTATATTCAGGTTTCTGAGGAATCTCCAGACTGACTTCCATAGTGGCTTAACCAATTTGCATTCCCACCAACAGTGGGTTAGTGTCCCTTCTTCCCCACATCCTCTCCAGCATCTATTATTGGTAGATTTCTGAATGTGAGCCATTCTAACCAGGGTGAGGTGGAACCTCATTGTGGTTTTGATTTGCATTTCCCTGATTGCTAGTGATCTTGAACATTTTTTCATGTGCCTGTTGGCCATTTGGATTTCCTCTTTCTTAGGTGTTTAAATTTTAACTGAAAAGTGATCCCTGTTAGGAATTTGGAAAACATTATGCTGAGTGAAATAAGCCAATCCCAAAGGGACAAATACCACTTGTTCTCCTTGATAGGTGACAACTAACTGAGCACCAAAAAGGAAACCTGTTAAAGTGAAATGAACACTACGAGAAATGGTGACTTGATCAGCCCTTACCCTGACTGTTGATGAGCAGCTTAATATGTTATCCCTCTTAGTATTTTTTTGTTTGTTCTACTTAATACTTTTGGTTGAATACTGTAATCAATACACAATTCTTCTTAAGTGCTGAAACTTAACTGAAAAGTGATTGCTGTTAAATATAAGAGTGGGAATAAGAGAGGGAAGAGATGTGCAGTTTGGGACATGCTCAAGCTGATTTACCTCAAACAGTAGAGTTAGAAACATACCAGGGGATTCCAATTCAATCCCATCAAGGTGGCATGTACCAATGCCATCTCACTAGTCCCAGTGATCAATTTCTGTTCACAATTGATCATAATGATAGGACTAAGAACCAAAGGGATCACATAAACAAGACTAGTGTCTGCAAATACTAGCTGATAGAATCAAAAAGGGAGAGAATGATCCAACATGGGAAGTGAGATACACAGCAGACCCAAAGAATGGCAAATGTCTTAACAGCACTCTGGTCTCTTAATCAGCCCTTAAGGCATGCAGATCTGGCTGAAAAGCCCATGAGAGTATTTCAGGCATGGAAAGCCAAGACACTCTGGGGGAAAAAAAAAAAAAAAAAAAAAAAAAAAAAAAAACTAAATGAAAGATCTCTGCGAGTGAGATCCCAGTGGAAAGAATGGGTCATCAAAGAAGGAGGTACCTTTCTCTGAAGGGAGGAGAGAACTTCCACTTTGACCATGGCCTTGTCTAAAAATTATCAGAGTCGGTGAACTCAGGGGGCTTCCATAGCCTTGGCAGCTCATGACAAGAGCCTAGGGTGAATACTGAGGCCATAAACAAGAGTGTCAATTTG